GTTTTCAGCGTTATTTTGTTATCGTTTTTATCGTTAACTCGGTTTTCCTGGGTCTTTTCACGTGTGTTATGAATAACTCCTGTATTTTTCAGTACCGGTACTAGTTTTATTTTGTTGTATTTTTCCGCGACACCTTAAAGGCCGGTTCGTGAAAATATTGTCGGTCATAAACCGGTTCGTGGCGCAAAAAAGGTTGGAGACCGCTGATTTAGAGCTTCCGCAACTCTGGCGCTTTTGTTTCACACTCCCCAGTAGTTGATAGTGTGCTACATATCAGTCATAGCTGATAAGGTGTATAGCTTATTTTAGAAGCCACACGTTATCATCATTGCATTTGCTATAGGTGTGTGCTCTCATTACAGCCAGGCTCCAGCAGGTTATTTCAGTGATTAACAGGCTTTAAGGTCCAATCAGATCAAATCTGAGGTTAATCGCACTTAGAACATCAAAAGGCACTACAGAGCTGCAGAAGATGACGCCTACAGACTTATCGTGGGTTTATGAGCCCCTGACTTTTTTCATACCACCACAATGAGGCCGATAGATTGGGTTTTCATTGGTCAAAAATATACTGGTTGGCATAACCTGCTCAGGATTAATTGTAATGATCATAATCAGATAAAAATCCTTATCAAATACATCTCACTGGACGATTAATTACATAAACCTTGCTAGTGCTGGGGTGGACCACATTTTCCTTCAGTACTGCATTAATTCTTGATGATATAGATTTAACAAGGTGCTGAACACTTTCCTCACAGATGTTGGTATGCACATCCATGTGACTCTCCCATTTCACCACATCCCAACTTATTTGATAGAGATCTGACGGTGATTGTGGAGGCCTTTTGAGCACAGCGAACTCACTGTCATGTTAAAGAAACCAGCTGAGATGATTTGAGCTTAAAGGGATGGGCATGGTCAGCAACAACACTTGGAGAGGAAGGCTGTGGCATTTAAACAGTGCTCATTTAAATGGTGTTTACTTGGTACCAAGGGCCCAAAGTGTACCAAGAAAATAACCCCCATGCAGTTATAGCACCACCAGCCTGAACTCATACAAGGCAGGATGGAGCCATGCTTTCTTTTTTATCACTTAAATCACCTTTCTGATGCTCAGTTTGAACTTCTGTATGTATGTGGATCTCATTTTTCTCAGAAACAAAAAAAAAATAGCAAAGAGAAATTAAAAATGCATGCCATGAAAGAGTTAGGGTCTTAGGAGGTTCATCTAAGATTCAATAAGTATTCCCCACATGAATAGATGAAGTACAGTAACAGTAAAATAACTGATTTAAAAAAATTGAGTCAAGCTTATTTGGTAGAAAATACTCCAACATGCAACTTTTTCTTCCAAATAAAGGCATTTTTGCAATCTGGCTAAACACTTGTCTTGTTTGCAGCCTGTTTCATCACCTCACCTTGTGTTTCTTGCCTTGTCTGACTTTATTGACACACTGTCTATGCGTTTTCACATCTCAAGAAATCCTTTCTTCAGTGTAGTGTTATCATAGCCACTTGTTCTTCGGTGCCAAATTGCACACATTTATATAAATGACACTTTTTTTTCCTACTCACACTTCTGAAGAATAAGAATCAGTTGCTCTTTTGCATGTAAATTTTAAAAAAAAGTAATCATTCGTGACATTGATCTTCAACAAAGCTCCAGAAATCCCATGTAGAACATTTGTTCAGAGTCTCTGTTGAGGCTGCAAAATGAAAAATAAAGCTGAAGTGTGAAGGTGTTTTTGAAGTGCTTCTCCTCAGTTCTGGTGTGAATTCAGCTCCTGAAAACAGTCGGTGGATTTAAAAATGTATGTATCTGACGCTCTCAGTGCATGTCAGCCGTTCTCCTCTATGCCCCCCCCCAGCTCTCTTCATCATACATTTTCCACACTCCTAAGCCCCTTTCGTCTCTCTTGTAGCTTTTTCCTCCTTGGTTCTCATTATACACGGATGACCTCCTCATCCACCTCTGTTCTAGGTTCAAAAATTTCTCAGTCTGTCATCTTTCCTTTCCCCAGCTTGTCATGATTCATCTGGTCTTGTCTCTCAATAGAAGCCCTAGAAATTAAATTAGTAGTCATGCACGTAACGCTAGTCACATACCGACTCTCTCTCATCCTTTGGCAACGGGGCAATAATGACCTGGCGGGGTTTAAAACGCATTAAATGGAAAATGCATTAAATCCACTATACTGATGTTCCTTCCCAGACCTTCTAACATTAGCACGAAGTAAAAATTACTTTAAGTTCAAAATATCAGTAATGTCCCCCTAGGAGACAATGTCATTGTAAGAGACAGCAGCTGAATAACTAATGCTTATCATCACATGAGCCAAGTGATCCTTCTTATAGGCTCTTTGTGTGTGTGTTTAAAGGAGGAATTGTCCATGCAGGGGAAAAAGATCGAGTTTTGGCTCTGCTCACCTTCTCCGCTACACTAGAGAAGACACGGGCTCCACATTTATAATTGATCTGCCTCAGCTCCAAAAATACCCCAACAAGGACACGCTGTTGTCTGCGTGTGCATGCACACAGGCGTGTAAAGTTGAGGAAGTGCAATCTTAATAATAGAGTTAGCAAACAGGTGAGAGGGTGCAGAGGAGACGGGCTGAGTCACAGAGAGACGGCCCTCTCAACCCCAGCACTCAGCCTGGCTTCTGCGTGGCCTGTAAACCACTCTCAGCAGCCCTAACGGCATTTAGCTGTTTGAATTTGCATGTAATTCATTGATGTAACCAGGTGGATGATGGGATTAAAATATTATGTAAAAGTCTGTTTATGACTCTATGAGCATATGCTCCAAACACTTTTAGTAAGCGAGAAGCTGCAAATAAAAGGAAAAAGAGAGGAAAAAGTTGTGTGTGTGTGTGGGTGGATGGGTGGTTGCGAGAAGCTGTGTGTGATCGAAAGCACATGCGAGAAAAATGGCGGTCGGCCGCGGGTCAACACAGGATGTGACCTGACACTGAAAGTGTAACATTGTAATCATACAGCATTCAAAGGTTCCTGCTGCTGCGGCTGCGTTAAGCTACAAAACCTTATTTCTGCAAAACGCAGTGGATGGTGCAAATTCAACTCCACCAGCTGTTTTCAGTCTTCAGTCAGCCAGTAGATGTTTAGTGTTGATACCTGGAAGAGAAATCGGATACATTCATTCGAAATTTTTGGCTGTTTATCTTGACACGTGTTCTTTGCAGGGATTAAAAAAAAACAGGATCACAGTTTAAAAGGAAACTTAGTTTCTCTTGATTCTATCCCCACATGTGTGTTTACACGTTCTCCTCCCCTTTTCTTCTTCCTCCAGGAGACTGCTTCCTCCTGCGATGAAGAGCTCCTTTCCTTGCTCCTAGATGCTGGGCTCCTGGTAGGCTGCGTCTCCTCAGCCCTGTACCCCCTGCTAAGCTCCCACATGCTGTCGCACCAGCAGGAGGGCGGTTGGGATGTGGAGAAAGCCGCCGCTGAGCTGATGGCAGCGGGCCGCGGGCCTGAGGCAGGCTCCCTGTTGCTGGCTCACCGCGGAACCCACCCGGCGCAGTTCACCTTCAACTCCGCCTTGGCCGTTCTCGAGAAGTGGCTGTGAAAGGAGACGGGGAGGCAGTTTGGACCGCAGCCACAGAGCGCCGTCGTAACCTAGCCTTAGGGAAAGAGTAGGAAGGCGCTGAAAAAGGACTGGAATTAGATTGGAACGAGATCTGAAGAAGCAAAACTAAAAGCAGCCAATACCTCTACATTTAGTTCTCTAATCAGGTTTGAGGTTCATCAACAGAAGACATTTCAATAGCGCTGTCATCTGTGAAGGTATAAGAGAGGATACCTTTAATCCTGAAACATCTGCTCAATTAGAAAGATGCTCTTTCACACACAGAAACAACCTCTGCTGTCACTCAGTCATGGATGAACGTCGAGACCGAGGCCTAATCACAAAATGCAACGGCTGCTCGGATTTATTTGTGTGTGCGCCGTGTCCTATTGTGTGATAAAGTAATTGAGCAGTGGGTAGCAGTGGGTGGATATTAGCCTATTGTTCCGTGACAGGTTTGCCTCTTTAACGTCCCATCGTTAAACACCCTGCCTCTGCTCCATTGTTTTCCCCCTAATAATGTCTAATTAATTCCTTCTAAACAAATTAGCCCCGCAGCTGCCCCCGTGCTGAGTGTACGGATGCACAAATACTATATATGACACACACCAGTGAAGTTATGTAAAGCTTATAATGACCAGGAATAAACGTGCACGCAAGTGTGTGTGTGTGTGCGTTAATGCTGTTAGGTTGCTTTGTTTCATTTGAATAAATAAAAGCGTAAAATACGGCTCTATTTTGTCCCGCCTTTTAGAACCGAAATAAAGAAAACTGATGAAAAGGAGCGATTGTATTATTTTCATTTTTTATTTTATTGTGTTTCTTTATTCATGGTGGAAGAGTGCACAGATGGGTAACGTTTCTTATCAGTATTTTTAGTTCTCTTTTTAATTGAATGGGCTTTAAGATTGTATCCGCCTCATATAATGAATGCACTCAAAACATTTGCATCATAATTACAGCATTTTGAGGAGTGATTTGCAGGGCAAAGATTTGGAAAATGAAACCCAAACCCCTGGTTTGTTTATTTATTTATTTTCTGTCAAAGCATTGGAAGTATGATTTTTATTTTTAGGCTGCCTTCCAAATTAAACCAAAAGAGCGGTGCTCGCTGCAGGTCCCCAGAGCAGCAAATGAACTTTCTCCCTCGCACAGAAAATCACTTTAATGAATACAGGGTTTGGATACTGATTGTTTCTCTTCATATGCATGTCCTTTTTGTCATGTATCATAGTGTTATGCCAGGACAAAAAACCTCTCATTGGGTCTACTTGGAAAATAATCAAATAGGAAAGTTGCAACATTGGAGTCGAAATGACATGATTCTAGTTGCATTGTTTGTTTGTTTTTATCTTCATAGATTTACAGTAGCGTGCACAAGTCTTGAGCCACCCCTCATTTCTTTATAATTTGCTAAAAGAAAAAGGAAATAGGTTCTGTCTTTTACAGAAATACTGAATACAGTATATAAGGCGAAAAAATAGAGTTCATACAATAATACTAATATTCAGTTAAACCACCTTTATTCTTCAACACAGCCTGAACTCTGTTTTAGACAGTTTTTGTTTTTTGTCATTTCTTTAAGTAGACTTCAGAAGTGGTTCTCCAGGCTTCTTAAAGGACATTGAAAGCTCTTCTTTGGATGTTTCTGCCTTTTGTTCCATTCTCTGTCTAGATGATCCCACATTTTGGACTCATCTCGGACGGGAATGAGTCTGCCTACAGGGGGGAGGTTGAACGTCTGGTGTCCTGGTGCAGCCACAACAACCTGGTGCTGAATGCCCAGAAGACAGTGGAGATTATTGTGGACTTCAGGAAGCACACAGCCCCACTCCCCCCCC